TTTATTAGGAATAAAGACTTCTGAGTTCTGGTGCATTTCTGCGTGCGGGGGTCATTATGTCACCCCTATGCTGTATCTTGTTTTGCTCCTCAGCATGGCTGCCTAAAAACTGCTGCAGGATTTCTCAAACATGCATGAATGAGTCAAAGCAAGGCTTTGGGCATGTTTTTTTATGAGAGTATAACATTATAACATGATATAAAACTCAAAAAAGTTGATTTTACATGATATTGCCCCTTTAAATATTCACTGAGATGTCGTTTCTCTGTTGGATTGTTTCAGCCCGTGGTGGGGAATCTGTTCGCTCAGGCCCTGTGTGACTTCACAGCCAAGACGGAGAATCAGCTGAACTTCAATAAGGACGATGTGATCCGTGTGCTGGAGCAGCAGGAGAGCTGGTGGATGGGAGAGCTGAACGGCGCACGGGGCTGGGTCCCCAAGAATTACGTGACCCTGCTGGGAGAGGAGGAGGGCTCAGAGTAAGTGACACTCGTGTTTATTCCCAGCAGCTAGAGAGAGACTTCACCGTCTGAATTTAGAAGACCTAACAAACAAGTTTGAGATCAAGAAGACTTAAAAAAAAAAGATTTTAGTCGTTTAAACTTTTACACCACCAAGTTTTTCATTTCTCATATAATCTGATTTTAATCAGATTTTTCTCAGTACAGTAATGCGTCCAATCCCGATCTTTTATCCAGGACAGTTTTTATCTGGTAATTCAATTTTACAAAGTTTATAAAAGGTTTTGAAAATTAACTCCGCAAGCATTTTTCAGCAGGTATGTAATAAAAGAGGTCGAAATGTGTGCAACACTGTATGAAAATAAGTTTTTAAAAAAGAAACACACACAAAATATACAATTGTGACAGTAAATATACCTTATAAATACATATCTAGTGGGAAACAGAGTTGTTGTTTTCTTATATACTAAAGATGTTGCAGGATAATTTCTGTCAATCTGACAATCTTGAAATAACTAAGAAAACGGCAGTGTGGCAAATGTCATACTTGATTTTTCCTCTTAGTCAGTGGCAACAATCCTTGTTTTTCTGTTACATTAAACCCACATGAACCTGGGAGCCTGGAGCGTATACATACCTCCGAGCCATAATAACAAATGTACCTGTGTGAGGCTTTTAGGTCTGGTAACTAAGTGAAGACAAGCAGCTGTGACACGATGATGTGATATAACTTGTTACTGTACTGACATGGTGGCTACTTCCTGTCTGAAAACTGTTCAGAAAATGCAAAGAATTTCTTCCTTCTTGTCAGAGGAATGTGCTGAGCTTTAGTTGCTTTAAATTGAAACACGTTTGAGTTTGAACAAAACAGTTCATATTATGCTGACGGCTGTATTTATGTTTGTTAAGGAGTTAAAAATCTGTCGTGGGTTAGTTGTATTTTCTCTCAGTTGGACAACGTGAACTAGTTAATCGTAAGGTGCGTCTCTCATGTCTGACTGGGTCGAGGTTAGACTCCAGCAGTCTCAACATTTAATCTACTTTTAAATTTTGTTTTTCAAGTGTTTTCCATTGTTTCTTAAAAATCTGGCCAAACAATGTATTCCACACAGAAAATATTCATGTCTGTTGTGTTTATACATTTTATAATTCGTTTGCAGTTTGTGGAACTAGGAGCAAACACTTTTCTGGCTTCCTTTTTTCCTGCTTAAAGTCGTCTCATGATGACTAATTACTCGATCCTCCCTGTTTGTGTTGGGTCAGGTGTTTTGCTGACGCGTCAGAAAGATTTCACTGAGTTTAAAAATAAAGTGCTTGAACTTGTCAAGGAGTGTCTACTGAACACTGCATGACTTGGGACACAATGGGCCTCATGCAAGAACCGTTCGTACGCACAGATTTGTTCTTAAGTTGTGCGTACGAGTGATTTAGGAGAATTTGTGGCATTCTTCAAAGTCAAGCAATTTACAATGTAGAACATTTATATAACAAACATTATTGTCTATCTAAAATGTCAATACGGTAATTAATATAAAAAAGGGACACAATGGGCCTCATGCAAGAACCGTTCGTACGCACAGATTTGTTCTTAAGTTGTGCGTACGAGTGATTTAGGAG